GTCTATAATGAAGTTAAACAAAAATGGGGATAGTGGAAAACCTTGTCGGACATAACTTGAGGTTGTAAAATCAGATGACAGTTCGCCATAAGCTCTCACTTGACTGGTAGTGTTCGAGTAAAGAGCCTTCACAAGGTTTATGTACTTCTCAGGTACACCTTTTAATGACAGACACTGCCACAGAACCTCTCGGTCTACAGAGTCAAATGCTGCTTTCAAGTCAAGAAAAACTATCATTGTCGGACGCCGATAAGCATGTCTGTGCTCTAAAACTTGACGAATGGTGAATATGTGGTCGATACAGCCACGACCAGGTCTGAAGTCAGCCTGATTTTCTCGTGTTTGCAGTTCACGAGTCTTAGTTAGGCGCCCGATAATTATTGAGGCTAATATTTTAGATGTTATGTTAGTCAGACTAATCCCTCTATGGTCATCGCAGGATGATTTTGGTCCCTTCTTATATATTGGGACAATTAGTGATTGTCACCAGTCGGATGGGATTACATCCGTCTCCCAGATTTTAGCCAGAATGTCAGTCAACCTAGTCGCTAGAATTGGACCACCATATTTAAAGACCTCTGGAGCCAATCCATCTGGACCAGCTGCTCTTCCTCGTTTCAGATTACCTATAGCCTTTTGAACTTCAAGTAGGGTCGGGGGGCCTACTTCAATGTTCCATTCAGGTTTTCTAGGAATAGTGGGTAGTTGTGCAGTAGCTGAAGGCCAGCTAAACTGCTCCTTAAAGTGTTCCGCCCATCGTTCTAAACGTTTGGGTTGAGAGCAGATAAGGGTTCCGTCTTTTTCGGAGATTGTCTCACTTACACTTGACTTCTTAATTCCGGTTTCTTTTATTAGTCTGAATAGTTGCCTGGTGTTGCCTACAGCCGCTGCCCTTTCCATCGCTTTTGCTTCCGTTGCCCACCACTGCTCACGATCGTTCCTTAGACTTTTAGTTAACCTAGATCTAATTTCTTTACGCTCTTCGTCATGTTCAGAGCCTGATGGGATGAGTTTACGCGAATCCATCAGTGAAATAGACTTAGAAGAAATCCATTGGTTTTTTGGAGCCCTATGGTTTAAATGACTAATAGATGTAACTGCTGTTTCCACAGCTGTTCGTATGTCTTTCCAAGCAGCATCTGTGTCAGTCTCGTTTACAGAACTGCCTAGATGTGAACTCAGTTGTTTCTGGAATTCGCATTTGGCTTTCTCGTCCTCCACTTCAATCCTAATTGGTCTTCTTAGTGTAGTTTTCCTGCGTCCAGTGAGGCGCAGACAAATGCGTGCTCGTATTAAAGCGTGATCAGAGTCTAAACAGGTATTCCAGTACGAACGACAATTTTCTATCGAGCCTCCCAAACGATGACTGATGGCAATATTGTCTATTCGAGTCCATCGTTGGTTTGTAGCAGGTGGTCGCCATGTTAGACGATGTCTCTCCTTATGTTTAAAATTAGTGCTTGCTAGAATTAAACGATTGTCTGAGCATAGTTGCAACAGACGATCATCATTATCAGTTCGCTGAGCCGGAATACTAAAACACCCACCTAAATGTCTTTCTGTTTGATTTAAGCTGCCTAATTGTGCATTAGTCACCCGCTACGAGTACTGTCTGAGTATTTGGCTTTTTGAAGAAGTTCAGAGAGCTTTCTGTAAGTCATCTTTCACTTCATTCGGACTGCAGTCAGTTGGAGCGTAGGCAGAAACGACGTGTGTCCCTATCCTTTCGAGTTCTTATGGGGCCATTTAGCCGGACAGCACACAGGCGACTGTTAACGGGGATCTATTCTAATAGTGCTTGTTCTGCCCTTGTACTAAGTGCTAAGCCTACACCTGCAAGTCATCGAGAACTAATCATAGGGTCTCCAGATACACGGAGAGTATATTTCGTAGGCTGTCCATTTTGGCGAGGTGAGGTCAAGTGAATGACCACACTGGGATCCTGTATGCGTGTTTCGGAGACACAGCATACATCAATGGTATGAGATTCTAGGGTCTCAGCCAAGAAGGCCTGTTGACCGATTTGTCTTAGGGTACGTACTTTGAAGGCTCCAATGTGTAGTTTGGAGCGAGGTTTCAGTAGACCTGGGACAGTGTTTCGCGCACTAGAACCGTTGGCCATGGTGACACTTGAGGAGGAAACCGAAAGAGAAAGTTTAGTACTGAAAGTCGAGGTATAAAGAATAATAGGAATCTAAGAAGATTGATTATGAATACAGTGATCTTGAGTGCTACTATAGGTATGAAGGCAGTTATCACTTCCTGGTTGCCCACACCGTGGAAGAGCTCTTCTAGAGGTACCTGAAAAGTAAATTGGATTAGAAGTGATCTTAATGTCCCGAGAGCGTGACCGCAGTGTTCAAGGGACAACTGCTTGAGGTCGGTCACACATGACCTTTTCGTGGGTAGTTTTTGTGTTAGCTCCGTTCTTCAAAGGACCTTACCGCCGGAGACGGAAATCCGTGGGTTAAGGCGAAGTGTGCATTTTTAGGGTTGACCTTTTCTAACCCCACCACTCCTTGTGGGAAAGCAGCATCGCTGTTATGCTGGTTGTCTGAAGGTAACACCTTACACATCTGTGCAGTCAGAAGTTCAACTTCACATTCGGTTTGCTGCTTTTAGTCTTACCGCTCTTCATCCGCCCTATCTGGCATGGTAGGACCTTGAGGAACGATTGTTCCAGCCAGTATAGCTCGATTGGTTGATTACGATAGGCAAGCCCAACCACCACGTCAATGTTGCAGCAACGGTCGGTCACTGGCTACCATGGGACTACATTTCTTCGCGATGCTCCACTGCCTTGTGGATCAGATCTTTAGGTCGAAGGCTGCGGGTGCGACCCCTTAAGAAAATCACCTGTTTCAGTCTGGGCACTCGGGCAGTAATATAACCCTCACACTTAAATGAAAGTACGTGATCTCTATTCACTAGTGGGGGAAAGTGCCGAATGGCGACGATATCTTCACAGTGGTGTGCGAAGACAAGGTCCAGGAATGATGGGTCATAGTCCAAGTTAATGTGCCGGTTTTACGATACATTGTACAAGCGCACACTAAATAATTGTTGGTAATAGGTCGCTATCAACCCCCCACCTGAAGCTGTGAGCTCTATCCGGTTGATATCTGGTGCGTTGAAGTATCCAATGATGAGACAACATTCTGCCTTACTCCAAGAACAGACATGTCTGAAAATAGTCGTCAGCAAGACAACACAGACTACGATATATTCCTCCTATAGTCACTAACCCGTTTCTAGACATAATTGTACATGCTACCTCACATGTACCACTAACATGCGCCTCCGATATGATCGATTGTACGCGAAAGTTATCCCTAACACATAACATGCCTCCTCTCTCGCGACTTATAACTTTATCACTTCTGATACAGATGTAACCTGCAATGATAGAACAGTCTATATATACAGTGAGCTAAGTTTCTGTGACGATTATATCGGGAGTTAATTCATCCACCATCAAGCTTAGCTCGGACATTTTATTTCGAAGACTGCGGGAATTCATGTAGCACACATTCGAGATGTTTTGGGAATCGTACGATCTACCCATACAGGTCTCGGAAGCATCGGCTTTCAAGACCAGACTACCCGAAAACGCTTAATTATAAGGTTCGTTTCGCCATTTAGCTTTCGAGTTCTTAACTCTGTAAGAGCTTTCTTCCACTTGATTCGATTCTTAAGTGGCCAATCTGGTCCAATACGAATATTTGAATCACGAGTTTTGTGTGCGTTATTCAATATTACGTCTCTTCCTTCAAAATTCCCGAGTACAAACTCCAAGACCCCTCTTTGTTGAGTCTCGCCTCCAGCCCATTTACCGAGTCTTATTACTTTCGTGATATGTACCCCTGAAACCTCTTCAAGCAGTACATTTCTGATGACAGACTTCACTAACAGCAGACCGTCTGTGTGTCTTTTAGCAGGGTTATTGCCATTCGACTCCTTTAGATTACAAATAATTAAACTAGGACCGTGTTTAACTCCTTTAAAAGTCGTGTTCACGGTTTTTAATCGTGATGTTAGATCCTGCCTGTTAACTGCTAGCATCTTACCGTTAGCTTTCCTTGTAACATTGTCGTGAGTAGAAAGAATGACCTACGGCAACGTTTGATGAGGCCAAAATTTTCCCATCCACGACAGGGCTAAATATTGTCTTACTTTCGGACCTTTCAACTAAACGGGCGCTTTTTGGGGCTATTTTTGTTCTCTTTTAGGTTTTCGCGTTATCCATTTCCCATCAGTCGCAGCATCCAGATTAGAACTGCTCGGGACGATAATGGTTCTAGCCGGATCATCAGCTGCTGCCATAGCAACTTAGCTACCAATATCTAATGGTGTATCACCCACTAATCGTTTCGGAGTAGAAGCTTTACTTCGAGTTGCACAGTTGGGTGTCTGGCAGGTGCCGTGACAGCACTTACGACACTGACACATTCTTCGTCATCAGTACCCATGTTACCGGTACAGCCATCGTCAATCTTTTTGTTAGCTAATACCAGAAGGCTAATTGCCTCTTGAATGAGCAATATTTTGTTCGAACAACAAAACATACAGAGCCAATGACAGGTTTTGAGAACCTTTTCCAGGCAGTGGGACTTAAGCGGGTGAACATTTTATGGGACCACTTCTTACATTCATCACATTGCATCCCTTCTAGAGAGAATGAGCAATATGGCTGTCCATACTTGTGAGCAGAGCTGACTATCTTAAAAACTAACTAAAATAGTAGACAAAATGGATGTGTAAGACAAATCTCAAACCATGATCAAATAAACCAGGCCTAAGTCGACCAAGAACGATTTGGTGCTGTAAACACACGATGAAGACACACGAGTACAATATTACATTAACTGAAATAAACTCAATTAAAGTGTGAACAGGAGTTCTGGTGTGTAATTTACTACCAAAACAGTGAATTTGACTCAAAGACAAACAATACCACTGTCCTTTTTAAATAGAGATACTAATACTTCTTGAAAACTAACCTTTCAGAAGTTGGGGGTAGTCGCACATTTTTGATGGGAACCTGTTCCTCTTTATTCCTAAAGAGAGGAATGGAAAACAAATGACTTAAACTGACTTTTCCGGGTAGAAGACAACCACATTTTCGTCAACTACGTTGCGCAGGACGGCCTAAAAATGTTATAGATGTGTAAAAACACTACTTACTTTTATGTATTGATTTAAACGTCCCTTTACTTCTATCCCAATCATTTTAGGAATGAATGCACAAAACCCAAAAGTAGTTCTTCCTTCAAATTATACCGAGGCTATCTATGAAAACAAATAGTGCATTCAGTTGCAATTTCAATATACAATGTATCAGTTTCAGTTTGGAGAAGACAGGAGGCTTGATGGCCTGTGTTAGTCCTGGCAATGGTGATCGCTCAGTTGATCCAACTTTCTTTTGCAAGAGTCGACGGATGGAGCCTCAACCACGTGCTCGGGTAATGGATTCCACTCGTTGATGATTCCATGGGAAAGTCAAATGGTTCAAATGGTTGAGGACAGGATAGAAGAAGCTTTCGCCTAATGGGCTTCCGTGTCTAGTAACAGTGGATCACCAATACCTCCAGGCAAGGGCCTAGGTATATTAACGATAATAGAGAAAAAAAAGAATTTGGTAAATCATAATAAGATGTTATCCTTAGTCCTTAAGAATAAGTCAAGTTTTCTCTTAAAGGACTCCTGGGAATTCGCTTGGACTAGCTCAGTTGGCAGCGAATTCCAGCATTTGACAACTCTTACAGAGCAGAAGTTGTGTCCGCAGTCTGTTCTGCTATGTCGGGTCTCCAGGTTCTGGGTGTTACCTCTGAGGTTAGTGTTGTGACTAAGCTTAAGAAGATGTTTAAGGGGATGACCAGAAGTGGTAAGTATACTGTAAGTCATAAGAAGGCCACCTCTAAGACGCCTGTACTCTAACGGGTAAATGTTAAGTGATTGGAGGCGCTCTTCGTAAGGTTTCAATTTGAATCCCCGAACTGATCTCGTGGCTCGACGTTGGATACGTTCCAGAGTGTCCTTAACCTTTTCAAGGGAGGGAGAAAATACTACTACGTGCTCTAAATGGGGACGAATAAAACTGCTGAGGATTATGTGAAAAGTTCTGCCGCCAAACTGGTCCGTTGTCGTCTGACCAACTTTGAAGTCGAGTCAGATCCTCCTGAAGTGCTAGTATAACTTTTTGGTCACGTATCTCTCCCCAAAGTTTCACATCATCAGTAAAAGGCAATAAGTCAGATGAAACCTGTTGTGGAAGATCTTTAATGTAAATCAAGAAGAGAAGAGGTCCTAGTATTGAGCCCTGGGGGACCCCACTAGGACATTACATAGCCTGAGAGAGAGTAAAGTTAACCCTGACCTTAAAATGTCAGTTTTCTATATATGAAGCGAGCCATTCAATCAGAGGGGATTTGATACACAATCGTCTAAGCTTGTTGATAAAAAATTTGTAGTTAACCCTATCAAAAGCCTTTGAGAAATCCAGGTAAATGACGTCAACCTTCCCCTTGCGATCAAGGATGGTTGCCCATCTGTCCACTGCAGTAAGCAGGTTCGTCATACTAGAACGACCCTTTCTGAAGCCGCGCTGTTGGGGTGAGAAGAACTTTGAGAATAATAGTCGTGTATACCGTCGTATATTAGAGACTCCATAATTTTAGAAGGCATAGAGAGAAGGGCTACTGGTCGGTAGCTTGAGGGTTCACTGTGTCGACCTCATTTGAAAATTGGTGTGATGTGCTCCATATTCCAAATTTCCGGCAGTTTGGCTCGGCTTAGCGAGTGTGAAAACATCACGCTAAGTGGTGACGCCAGGAATGAAGCTACTCCCCTCAGTATAGCAGAATGAACTGTATTCGGACCAGGAGAAGTGTCTTTTCTTTCGTGCTGCAGCTTACAGATCACCAAGTCAGCACTCGAGTCCACTTCGGAAAGTCTTGTGCAGGTGGAGCTTTCGTCAGCACAGTCGATTTGGGTCGGCTGGAATGTCTGAGAGTATTGTTCAGCCAAAAGATTCGCGGCATCACCGTCGTTATTGACCGGACCATTAGGACCTAGCAGTTGGGTTAGCGACCCCATCCCGTAGAATAGCTAACTCGCTAAAAAACGCTAACCAGAAAAAATAATTCAAACCATTTAAACTCTACCCTGGGAGTTGAAGGAATAATTATGACGTCTCATGATGAAAGCCGAAATTCTTAGGAAGTCACGAGACCGATGCACCTTCTAACAACCAGAGCAACACTCTTTATAGGTACATGGAACGTCCGGACAATGTGGGAGACAGGAAAGACCAGTCAAATAGCATCGGAAATGAGGAGATACAACTTGGCAGTACTCAGAATCAGTGAACCCATTGGACACGAGCTGGACAACAAAGGCTAGGTACGAGAGAGATGCTGCTGTACTCTGGTCACGAAGGGGAAAATGCTCCACACACTCAGGGAGTTGCTCTAATAATGTCCAAAGAAGCACGAAATGCACTTGTGGGATGGGAATCTCATGGACCCAGGATAATCAAAGCATCATTCAGAACAAAGAAGCAAGGGATCACAATGAACGTTATCCAATGTTATGCACCCACCAATGATAGCAACGACGATGATAAAGATCAGTTCTATGAAAGGCTGCAATCAATTATAGCAAAGTGCTCACGAAAGGACCTCACCATCCTGATGGGAGATCTAAATGCTAAAGTTGGAGTGGACAACACAGGATATGAAGATGTAATTAGACGACATGGATTAGGAGAGAGAAATGAAAATGGTGAGAGACTTGCAAGCCTATGTGCATTCAACAAATTGGTTATAGGCGGCACAATATTCCGACACAAGCGCATACACAAAGCTACATGGATCTCACCGGACCAAACCACAGAGAACCAGATAGACCACATCTGTATCAACAAAAAATTCCGAAGATCAATAGAAGATGTGAGAACCCGGAGAGGAGCTGACATGGCTTCAGATCACCACCTGGTTGTGGCCAAGATGAGACTGAATCTAAAGAAAGACTGGACAACTGGACAAACAGCACTACAAAGGTTTAATACAGCCTTCCTTCGAGATACTAACAAGCTCAATGAATTCAAGATAACTCTCAACAACAGGTTCAAAGCTCTACAGGATCTACTGAAAGAACAAGAAACTACTTTGGAGGACAAGTGGAAAGGGATAAAAGAAGCACTAACTTCAACGTGTCAGGAGGTTCTTGGTCCCAAGAAGCATCATCACAAGGAATGGATCTCTATGGGAACCCTGGACAAAATTCAAGAAAGGAAGAACAAGAGACTAGCAATTAACAACAGCCGAACACGAGCAGAGAAAGTCAAAGCACAAGCAGACTACGGAGAAGCAAACAGGGAAGTGAAGAAAAGCATTAAAGCCGACAAGCATAAATACATGGGAGAACTAGCAACGACGGCGGAAAAAGCTGCAAGAGAAGGGAATATGAAACAACTATTCGATACAACGAATAAATTGGCATGAATATACAGCAAACCGGAGAGACCAGTCAAAGACAAAGAAGGAAAGACAATCACTAAGATTCAAAAACAGAGGAAAAGATGGGCAGAATACTACGAGGAACTACTGAATAAACCAGCCACATTGAATTTACCGGAAATCAAAGCAGCACACACTGGCCTTCCCATAGTTGTCACTCCACCAACGATCGAAGAAGTCAAGATGGCCATCAGACAAATCAAAAGTGGGAAGGCGGCAGGACCTGACAATATACCAGCAGAAGCACTGAAGTCAGACATTGAAATAGCTGCAAACATGCTTCACCTTCTATTTAAGAAGATTTGGGAAGAGGAACAAGTGCCAATGGACTGGAAAGAAGGATATCTCATCAAGATACCAAAGAAAGGAGATCTGAGCAAATGTGAGAATTGCAGAGGCATCCATTTGTTGTCAGTACCAGGAAAAGTTTTTAACAGTGTTGCAGAACCGGATGAAAGACGCAGTAGACGCCGAACTTAGGGACCAACAGGCTGGATTCCGTAATGATCGGCCGTGCACAGACCAAATTGCGACACTACGGATCATCGTTGAACAATCAGTTGAGTTGAACTCATCACTATACGTCAACTTCTTTGACTATGAGAAGGCGTTTGACAGCGTGGACAGGAGAACATTATGGAAACTTCTTCGATACTATGGAGTTCCTGAAAAGATTGTGAACATTATCCAGAACTCATACGATGGACTACAGTGCAAGGTCGTGCATCGAAGCCAGCTGACAGATGCATTTCCAGTAAGGACCGAAGTCAGACAAGCTTGTCTACTCTCCCCATTCCTCTTCCTTCTGGTGATTGACTGGATTATGAAGACTTCGAGATCTGAGGGGAAACATGGAATACAATGGACATCTAAGAATCAATTAGATGATTTGGACTTTGCAGATGACCTAGCCCTCCTATTTCATACACACGAACAAATACAGACGAAGACAGCAAATATAGCAGAAGCCTCTGCATCAATAGACCTCCACGTTCACAAAGGAAAAAGGAAGATTCTCAAATACAACACGGAGAACACCAACCCAATCACACTTGATGGCGAAACTCTGGAAGATGTAGAAGCATTCACGTACCTGGGAAGCATCATTGATAAACAAGGAGGATCGGATGCAGAGGTAAAGGTGAGGATTGGTAAAGGAAGGGCAGCATTTCTACAGTTGAAGAACATATGGAACTCAAAACAACTCTCAACTAATTTCAAAGTGAGAATCTTCAATAAGAACGTCAAGATAATCGGAGCTGAAACGTGGAGAACTACTACATTCATCGTCAAGAAGGTACAAGTATTTATAAACAGTTGTCTATGCAAAATACTCAACATCCACTGGCCGGATACAATCAGCTACAGCGTTTTATGGGAGAGGACAAACCAGCTTCCAGCTGAAGAGGAAATTAGGAAAAGACGTTGGAAGTTGATCGGACATACATTAAGGAAATCACCAATGTGCATCACGACTCAATCCCTAACTTGGAATCCTGAAGGGAAGCGGAAAAGGGGAAGACCAAAGAACACACTACCCCGGAAAATAGAAGCAGATATGAAAAGAATGAATAGCAACTGGAAGGAACTGGAAAGGAAGGCTCAGGGCAGGGTTGGATGAAGAATGCTGGTGAGCGGCCTATGCTCCTCCACTAGGTGTAACAGGCGTAAGTAAGTATAATGGACTACAGATGATAAATGAGCTGAATGGCCGTCAACAATTATGGATAAATATGAACAGCTGCTAGTACCTATTTAAAATTTTACTAGTCAC